TAAAGGGGATTAACATGCAGAATGAGTGGGAAGAAGCAGCTCACAATAGAACTCTGTTGCGAACAAAGCAAGCTATAAAAATATACTCTTTCGGAAATTCCCGTCACTAAAAACTTAAATAACACCCTAAAATACGAAGAGAAAATCACGACGAAAGTATGATTCCCAGAAGAAAATGTGGCTGCAAAATGGTCACGTACATCACGTACCATCCGGGCAACTGACCTTTTGCGGGAAAAAATAAAAAGTCTCTCTCACCGACTCTCTTACGATTTTCAAAGTTTTCACGCGCCAGTGAAGAAAAAATTATAAAAGTTTCTGCACCAAGGAACAACGAAAAATACGCCAGTTATTTTACGTTTCACACACAAGTTATTTTACGTGTCATACACAAGTTTTATATTTCTGTTCCAAGAAATTCTAATTTTTCCAAGCCAGGAAAATCAAATTATTCAGTAAACGCGGAAGTTTAGTGCTAGGTGATTACATCTTCCGAAACCAGCATTTGTTAGTAGTATGTAGTATTAAGCTAGATATAGTTTTTTCCTAGACTATAAGCTTCCGAACAGTGAATAGTGAGTGCTACAAAGTGTGTCTAACCGACCAAATGAAGTTTATAGCGCAGTATAATATAATCCTTAGGTATTATACTGTGGTCAGCTGTACCTTTTCACCGCCAATACAAGTGCAGGAGTGAGGTAACGAATTTTGAATATTTATTCATGACAGGGTTTTAATGACAATTTTTAATGAGAGTGATTTGGAATATTTACATGCAAATTTTTTATCAAGTTTTAGATTTTTTTATATTTTCAAAGATTTCGTATTTCTTGTAACAGATAGTATAAATTTTTTGCCTAGCATAAAGAGTATGAATGAGAGAGAGTGTAAGGATTTAGTATAATGGAAATAGGGATATTGTGTTTATACTTTTTATTGGATTAAATATTATTTGCTATTGTTCTACATTTATTTTTTAAACAAAAGATGTTATCGTGGGGACTATATATAAAAGAAGAATGAAATTATTCGGCAAACCTACAGTAAGATTAGCCATGAAACATGGCTAAAATACCGACTACCCGTAGACACTTAGTAACGAATTTGTTTAGGCTTCATTTTTAGACACTTCATTCGTCTTTTTTTTTATTGAAATATCCAACCAGTATCTCCTTGACAATACAGTCTATACTAAACTAGGTAGTATACGTAGTACTACTTGCTTGTCTCACAAGCTAATACTATCACATATCCTAGTATGTCTGTACGGCAGGAATAACAAATCCTGCTCCGTACAAACTCAATGGAGAAAAATTGTAAATTCAGTTAACAGCGACAACCAAAAAGTAAAGAGGCAACAAAGCAATGAGATTTTTGAATGTCCGGAGTGCGGTATGCAGATAACATCATGTATCGGGCTTTTCAGTCACAGAAAAACTCATGAAAGAAAACGCCTTGCGTGACCATCTTCTGATGCGTGTCAAATACTCGTCAGCGAGTAATGGCAGTATATATATGTATATGTATAAACATTGTAATCTTAAATCATACAGGATGTTCAAAATTCTACTCTTCAAACATTCTAAAATATAAAATAAAGTTTCTTTTTTTTTTAATGGAACACCCTGTATATTATTTTTTTAGTAATGGATAATTAAAAAACGAACATTTTTTGTATTTACAGTATTTCATTGGCTCTTTAACGGTTTCGCAGATATTCGTGATTTTATATTTCATACTGCATTTTCCATAGTAAACTTTTATCAAAGCCACCCAATGATTTTTCTCTCGGATTTTACCGTTGAAAGAGCCATATATGAAATAATACCACGAGTATCTGCGAAGCCGTTAAAAATTTTGAAATACTCTAAATGCAAAAAATGTTCATTTTTTAATTTTCCATCTATTAAAAGAATAATATACAGGGTGTTCCATATTTAATATAACGAAGAAAAATTAATTTATATTTTAGAAAGTTTGTCGTAGCATTTTGAACACCCTGTATGATTTAAGATTACGATATTTATAGCAAAATAAGTACAGACCATCTAAAGTAAACACCTAATATAGTTTTGATTTCAGGACAGTTCTTGTATTTTTAATATTTTTTTTAAAAGGCTGAAGAAAGTATATTTTTTTTACTTATTAAGTAAAAAAAGTGTAAAGTGATCAGAAAGGAAGCCAAAAATGTTATAATATACAAGGTGTTCCATTTAAAAAAAATCATCTTGATCCACTTACATTTTTTTGAGTCACCATGTAGAGGTTAAATTATTTTCCTGAAATACATTCTAATACATACTTTAGATTTGCACTTAAACAAAATTGCTGAGTTTTTTTATTTTAGGAGCTACAGTTGCCCGACTCACTGTTGCCGGACCCTGTATATTGAGATATAGGGTGGTAATTTTTTCTAAAAAATATTTTTTTTATTACAACTCTGATGTTATTGTAGATATCTTTATGAAATTTGATACACGTCGATGCATTATTCTTTTTAAGTACAAAAAAGTTTCTTGTGTCTCTAAATTCCCATCCAGTCGCAGCAGAATCGATTTCAACACAACAGTTGCCGCATCAGATTTTTAGTGATTTGACCCCGAAGTACTTTATTTTTTTATACAAAGCTATTTGGTCCAACGAAAAAATCAAGAGACAAATATTGTTTCGAAATAAACGAAGATTTTGAAAGTGATATTTATTTTAAGACAGGTCAGGTGGGCGTAGCATTTTTTCTCGAATTATGTTATATATAAAAGCCGTGCGGACGCCACTGGTTGAAATAAATAATTTTGTTTCAACACTAAAAAGACGTTTTGCTGCATACAAAACGTGGATCAAGTTTTATAAAGATATCTATAATAACGTCAGAGTTATTATGTATTTTTTTTTAAATTTACCACCTTCTATCTCAAAAGTTAAGATTTTTTCTGGCCAATCCTGTTTTTCAATTTCCCGAATAGCATCCAAGTATCGTACGTGACTATTGACTATCCTACCTTGTCCAAATGTACTTAATTGAAATGAATGGAAAAAAATCTGACGTAATGTATGGTGTGAACTGTGAATGTGAACTGGTATAGACCGAACTTCTCAGAAACTTAGAAAGAGAGTATCACTGCATAAAAATGATTACAAAGATAGACCTAATATCACTAGTCACACACACACACACACAGTTCACATCAGATGGTTAACAAAAAATGGTTGTCAACTATTATAATAATTACAACGAATGAGATTCTATTTATACGTCTCTTTTACAACAAGATCTAACAAAAAAAACATAAAAACTAACCAATACTATACAGATACAGGGTGTCCAAGGAATAAGTGCAAGTATTTTAACTGGTAGTATAATTCGACCCCAGAAACACGCCCATGAGGTTTTTTGCAGAAAAAAATATGTTGAAATTTTTATATTTTTCTTGACATTTTCCGCAAAATATTGAGAAATTTTGGAGTGCCGCTTCTTCAGTTTCTAGAAATGTATTTATAGTGCTTCGAGAGAATGCAATGTTGTCACCTCATACGTTATCCACATTCTATATGTTTATAAATTATAAGTTCCAATTTTTTAAATTCCTATAATAAAAGTACTTAAATTAATTTTATTCGCTGTTTTTAATCATTGTAGTATTAAGTACAGTACGTCTATCCGTTATGTAGCTACGGGGTATCCGTGAGGGGGGAAACGATATTCTCTCGATATATAGTTTTTCGTGCAAAAAATAGACGACGCGTCCCTTCAATAAAAATTCGACAAATTTGCAAGTAGCCAATGAAATGAGTGGGTGGAGTGCGAATCTCTGCCCCTTCTACCTGTTTGTTTATTTAAAAGTTTTTTTGTCCGCATTCGTTTCATAGACACATATCCAGTAGACGCGTTGTGCAACGTATACTATATTTTAAATACCTTTTTTACAATTTAGTAAACTGAATGATGTAACTAAATAAAAAACGAAAAGGAAAAATTAGTCGGGAAAGCCCTCAATAAATGACTAATTTTTCCTTCACTTTTAATATATTCCCCTCACTATTTCAATTTTTATCAAATAAAAAACAATATAGCAATTTTCAACAGTTCAGAATCAGCGCCCTCTATTAGATATGTAAATAGCCAACGTTTGATCTACATTTAAAATAAGCTGATGGCATTTTTAGGTTATGTATTTCATTAGAGATTTACACAAAACAGTAAACCTCCGACAAAACTAAAAAAAATAGCTAAATGTAAGGTAAGCCTGTATAAATAGTTTTGTTATCCAAATAGAAATATCAATTATTTTGTTTGTCCAAAAAAACAAAGAGAGAAATTAAAATTATTTAATTACATTTTAGAATTGTCAGTTTTCATATGAATGTATTCTGTACCAAATAAAGTAAATGTAGTGCTATCGAAAATCGCAATGAAATGAAGTGTCGTTAAGCGTAGAGTTGCGGTTTTAGGTAAAGTGATAAAACGACGCTCCATCCTGACTAAATCGATCTGCTATCTATCGAAATCCCGTTTTCTAATGTTAGGTAAGTCTTTTACTTCTAATTTGAACATTTCAAGTCGTTTTGAAATCATTTTTGTCGATGTGTCAACACTGGGCGTCCTACGAGCGGAGATCAGAGTAATTGCTTGGTATTTGCGGCTAATTATTATAGATTGCTGCCGGCTCTCAAAATGTTGCCATTATTTTTTTTAAATTTTAAAAGTTAAATAACTGGGTTATTATCAATTTACTTTAAAAAATGGCAAAGGGGAAATATGTTTCTGTTGGCTAGATCTACCACCACTTAAAACACCTGGACTTATTTCCGGGACACCCTGTACAAAAAAGAGATCCAACAAATTCGAGTAATTGAAGGCTTATTCTTTTCTTTTCTAATTATTTTTAAATTTTAAATTAAAGCAAGTTTCTACCTCCATATCTTCAGTTAGTTAGGTTTGAATTTATTTATTAACCTTTTTGACTATATGTATAGCTGCTTTACATTTTTACGATGCTTACCTGAGATTTATCATATTTAAGCCGCTTCCAAATAAATTGTTTCCTGTCTGTTGGATTCTGTGAACCACTTGTATCATTCGAGTAATAGTTTGGATTTGAAAAGCTTCGACTGGCACCATACAAGTAATTTTTCTTTCCTCTTTTGATAACAATAAATGTGACTACAGCAATACTTGCTATTATGATAGAAACCATCGGCACCTATAAAACAGGAATCAACTCCATAGAAAGAAAACCTTAATAAATTTTTATATTATAATTAGATAAGCAACGTTTTTCAGTGAAATCGCATCATCATAATATAATGATATTTTAAATATTTTATACATCTATAGAATTTTTAATACCTATTTGTATTATTTAAGTTTGTTATTTCTAATGACTTTTCGTTTGCTATCTAAATTTTACGATGTTAATTTTATTTTTTTTTCATCGTATCAGATTCTTGAAAATTCTTTCTTCTCTTTCCAAAATGATATTGAAAAATTAACATCAATAGAAAAAATAACAGCTCTAACATGTACAGGGTGGACCATTTTGGTTGTTTCTATAGGGTATCTAGGAAACCGTAAGAAATATTCAAATTTTGATACCGCAGTCTCGGGTTCTTTTTTTGAAAAAATAACAATGGCGTAAACGGATCGTGGCTATCTTGATCGGTTTCGAAGCTACAGGGGGATTCTCAAATTTTGTACTTTTTGAAGATGTTCGATAGTTTGTTTATTTCAGCCAACCACGAAAAAATGAATTATACATTCTGAAGGCACTTTTCTGTGTAGAATGCAGTGGCGTAGTCAGACTTTTTCGAAAAAAATATTTTTTTAGATATTAACTATAATAATATTTTTTTTTAAATAGAACCCCCTGTATATTTTTAAATTTCCTGATTCAGCTTGGCATGGGCTTTTCAAAAATATATAACACTCTATATTTATTTTCACTATTAACCTCAACATTTCAAATTTTTCTTAAAATATCCCGTTAGAAATAGGCCGCGCCGAGTAACAAAGTAAACGGTTGTCATGGTGATCGGAACATACCTTTGATGGATGTGTGACATTTGATTTCAACAAATTGAAGTGTGTGTATTTTAAATAATAAAAATAAGTAAATTTTAAAATTTTGAGAAATTTAATATGTTAGAATGTTATATGCGTCTAACAAACATAAGCAAATGGCAGCTGATTTATATTTTGAGCGGTATCCTAAGCGCGAGCAACCAATCCCAGTCATTTTTAAAAGGTTAAAAAATAGTTTAACCCTAGCCGTCTAGGTCACCTGATATCATTCCCTTGGACTTCTTTCTCTGGGGCTTTCTGAAAAACGCAATTTATCGAGATGCAAATAGAACATTAGAAGAGTTACAAAGTGTAACCAACATACACTTTCGAAATGCTGTTAGCGGCCGGCGCGCGGCGGTGCGGCGTGCGGAGACGATGCCAACTCTGTATAATAATAGGTAGCAGTTTGAAAATTTAATGTAGTCTTTGTGTTTTTATTTTTTTATACTAGCTGAGAAGCCTGATTGAAGTAACCTGTTGAATTTGTATTAAAATATGTTCTTTTGTTTCTGTCACACTTATTTTTTATTTGCTTCGTTTTGTTCGATTTTATTTAATTGCTAATACATGGGGTAATTTGAAAGTAGGTATTCCCTTGTTTCCTTTAATACTTGGCATGACCTACTAAAAGGAAAGTCGACATCTTTAAATAAATTGGAATTTTAAAGTTAATAGTGAAAATAAATATTTAGTGTTATATATTTTCGATATGCCAAGCTGAATCAGTAAATTTAAAAATATACAGGGGGTTCTATTTAAAAAAACATAAGTATAGTTAATATCTATTTACTTATTTTTTATTATTTAAAATACACATACTTCAATTTGTTGAAATGAAATGTCACGCATCCATCAAAGGTATGTTCCGATCATCATGACAACCGTTTACTTTGTTACTCGGCGCGGCCTACTACTAACTGGATATTTTAAGAAAAATTTGAAATGTTGAGGTTAATAGTGAAAATAAATATAGAGTGTTATATATTTTTGAAAAGCCCATGCCAAGCTGAATCAGGAAATTTAAAATATACAGGGGGTTCTATTTAAAAAAACATAAGTATAGTTAATATCTAAAAAAATATTTTTTTCGAAAAAAGTCTGACTACGCCACTGCATTCTGCACAGAAAAGTGCCTTCAGAATGTATAATTCATTTTTTCGTGGTTGCTGAAATAAACAAACTATCGAACATCTTCAAAAAGTACAAAATTTGAGAATCCACCTGTAGCTTCGAAATCCATCAAGATAGCCACGATCCGTTTGCGCCATTGTTATTTTTTCAAAAAAAGAACCCGAGACTGCAGTATCAAAATTTGAATATTTCTTACGGTTTCTTAGATACCCTATAGAAACAACCAAAATGGTCCATATAAACTCATGGTAAATGGTTGCAAAACAGAAATGTTTTTTGTTTACCAGCTTTACACTGTTCTTCCCGATTCAAATTATCAAAATCCGGTATAGTGGCAGCTGCAACGTCTGCAATAATTATGCTTTATTTTTAATATCTCGGTTTTTATATTCCTCGCAGGAGACATCCCATATACCTACTCCTTTGATTTTCCAAAGCGTATATCAATAATTCTGTTTCAATTTTAAAGATATCTACTTATTGATTTACTACTGCAACGACGCTTATCGACATAAATTGCAACGCAGCACTTCGTCCTCGACGGACGGTCCGCGTGTATGTGAAATAGCCTATTTAAGGCCGATTCTCACCTAAGCGGCATCGAGCGAAGCGACGCGGCGCAGTGCGGCGCGAGACGTAGCGCCATACCGGATCGGCTATTCACACCTAAGCAGCATTTGGCAGCAGCAGAACCGAATCAGTAGAGTTTCGTTTGTATTTGAGTGTATACGTAGGTGGACGACAATGACTTCGCACACGTTAGATGATTCTACATGCTCATCATCAGAAAATTTTTTGTTTGTCGCTGCAATATGTCACGAACATGAACAGAAAAAGAGCAAAAAAAGCGGTAATATTACAAACAAGTACTCAATGTTACAAAAATATTACAATACAAATGAGTACTATCAGTGTGGTGCGGCGCTTCAAAATGACGTTTCCAATTGTTTGCGTGTAATTAAATGATACCGTCCTCACCTAAGCAGTGCGGCGCCAAGCGTATTGTCGCGGTCTGCGATTTTTCAACGCTCCCTAAAGGCCGATTCTCATCTAATCGGCATCGAGCGAAGCGGTGCGGCGCGGTGCGGCGCTTTAAATGACGTTTCCAATTGTTTGTGTGTAATCAAATGATACCGTCCTCACCTAAGCAGAGCGGCGCCAAGCGTATTGCCGCGGTCCGGCGCGGCGCTGCAATTTTTCAACGCTCCTAGGAGCGTTGGCTCGCGGCACGCGTATCTAAACTCGCGCGTGATCGCCTGCTGACGACCAAGTGAGGATCACGAAGCGTCAAAAGCAAGCCACGTGACGACTTGAAGAGGTTATTTAAATTGTAAAAATTTGTATTTGTAGTGTTTTGAAAATGCATGGACAAGAAAAAATTGATCGACTGATAGTACTCATTTGTATTGTAATATTTTTGTAATATTGAGTACTTGTTTGTAATATTGCCGCTTTTTTTGCTCTTTTTCTGTTCATGTTCGTGACATATTGCAGCGACAAACAAAAAATCCTCTGATGATGAGCATGTTGAATCATCTAACGTGTGCGAAGTCATTGTCGTCCACCTACGTATATACTCAAATACAAACGAAACTCTACTGTTTCGATTCTGCTGCTGAATTAAATGCCGCTTAGGTGTGAATAACCGATCCGAAATGACGCTACGCCTCGCCCCGCACCGCGCCGCGCTGCCTCGCTCGATGCCGCTTAGGTGAAAATCGGCCTTTAACATGTACGATTAAACCCGTACGCGCGCGGGCGCTCCTTCGAAGCATGTGCTCGACGGATGGCCGTCGGACGGAATCATCCGGACGGAGCATACGCGAACCATGTGAAATTATTCATATAAACTCATGGTACTTGCTCGAACTCGCGGACGGTCCGCTCCATCTGAAAGCGCTGTAACTCTCCATTTTTTTTATCTGGACGAGCACTGTCTTATTCTAGATGTCAATTACACCGCAATATGGCCGAATCTATTGGATCACGACACACCTTTGTAATTAAAAGAGTGGGAGGGGGAGTTGTTAAATTGATAACTGATTTGAAAGTTCAGATTTCCAAAGACAATCTTAATAACTGGAATACAGATATCGTGCCAAAATAGAGAAAAAAAAGTTTGCTTGTTTAACATAACTGCATTTCCTTTAACCAGCCAACCACCAGTATACAACAGAGGCGCATAATATACGGAAGTGGTAATGGTGGTGATGGTGGTAATAAATTACCCCTCCCAAGAGGAAATTTATGAACATAAGATGTGTTATAAAATAAAATTGTCTCAAAAGAAGTTAATAATACGAATCAAAATATAAAAGGATCATACTGTATTTCATGGACTATATCATTTAGATAAACTTTATTTCATGGACTATATCATTTAGATAAATGGACACTATTTTCATATTTTTTTTTAAGTTTTGCAAATCTCGACTTTCTAAAAAATCCTATACATAATTAAGAAAGGAAAAAACATCATGCAAGAGCGCCATTCACCCTCTATCACCCTCATAAATAATTAGTTTTAGTCACTGGAAGGATAAAAAAATTAAAAAAGTGTAAAAAATCAAGATTTCAAAACAATTTTGAGGCCAAAATTGACCTTCTTTCAAGTACTTTGATTTCGATTATTTTCAGAATTATTAAGATTGTTTATTTCAGAAGGGTATAAACAAAAATTATATTTTGTGTAAATAAAGTTTGTCGTAGAGTCATATATAGGGGTGTGCAAAAGAAAAAAACGCTTTTTTAAATACATAATAACGTACAAAGAGGATAAAAATGCTTTTGAAGTTGTTATATTTGCGGCTTTTATAAATTTTAAGTAAACAATTGAAAATTAAAAAAAAATATATTTGTTGAAAAGTTATACAACATCCAAAAAATAGACAATAATTAAAACTTTCATCTGAAGTAGTTCTGAAACTATTAACTAAAGAATCATACTGTATTTCCACAGTCACAATAGCTTTCAGCGAAAATATAATTCAAATTTAGTACTTTATGTAAGTGTTAAATATTGCCACTACCCCTACCAGATTCAATCTCGAGATGTACCACTCGTATACAGTAAATATGTACTCAATATATCGATACTTACCAAAGTAATAACGTAAAATGCGGAAGTTTGATCAACAATTCCTGCTTCCTCGGGTTCTGGACTATATTTAGGATGAACCGATGATTCATACTGTTCTTCATCATCATCAATTTCTTCATCTTTAGTGCAATCGTATCCTTTATTTTCGGGACAAATATTAGATACACGTGATAATGGTGCTGCAAACAAAATGAAAATATGTGCAAAATATATTATGTGCAAATAGCATTACTAGTAAAAATGAATACTAAGTATATCAAATATATTTTTTTCCGTACATCTAATATATCGTTCGTATTCAAAAAAATTGACCAAATCCATTAATAACCAATGTTTTATTTACAAATGATTTTAATGTATAGACTGCAACAACTGTGTAAAATAGATGACATTGCTGAGGTACAAAGAAAAATGGAGTTGATAATTTTTTGTAAAAATATATAACGTTTTGAATATTATATTGTTAAAAAATTAAGTTCACAAAAATTTGGACTTGGTCACTTTCTCTTGTATGCCGAATGTATACAGAGTGTCCCAGGCTAAGCGTGCATCAGATCTTCCATAAATAAAGAAAGTTTACAGCAACTTTCTTATTTTAAATGGGTGTCCCCATTTTTTATTACATAGTTTAATTCTCTGTAAAACTTTATGAATTTTGATATTAAACACTCTGTATCTAACATTAACCGTTATTGAGAAAAAAATATAATATTTAATATTTGCTGCCTGTCAAAAAAATGCATATAGCCTAATCGTCAGATTTAGTGATTACCACAGCCACTGTAACATAAAGAGAAGACATGTGCCTATCTATTTCTAAAACTAAATTGTTCGAATATTATATGATAATGGCCGCAGCTATCAATTGAGCGATAAAAAATTGTCACAAATATTTCTTTTTTTTAAATGGAAACCCACATTTTTTTTTTCACAAGTGAAAAGGTTTTCCAATTTGTTACTTTTTGATTATAAATGTTCCTATACCCAAAATAAATCGTTTTTAAGTTATTTAAGATTTAGTTTAAGGCGTACATTTTTCTTGATTTTAACCAGTAGCCTATGACTTTTAAAGTAAAGTAAAGATAAAGATTTCAGTTAAAGTCTCCTTTTTGCTGCCAGGTAACTAATCTGGACGGAGCCAAAGTACTTTGTTTACGCGGAATCCGAACAGCGGGCCTCGGCCATATCATGGTCAATGGCCTACCGACTCAGCAAGTGTCTAAATCGACTCTTACTCACGAGATCATCCGGCCTCGAACCGGCGCACGGTGGGATATTAGCATCAAAAAGGTGATCGAAATTCGAAAAAGCAAATTTGTTTAAGATTTCCCAAAAAAAGATAAATGATAAGTTAAATCATGTCTGTCATGAATGGCGTTGCTATGGGTGTGTTTAGTTGCATTCATTTGTTTCAACGAAACGTCAAAGTTGTTACTTCTCACACATAAGAGGTAAATGGCTAAATTTTATGTTTAAAATTATAAATTGTTGTTGTTCTTGTTCTCTTTTTACGTTTATATTATTGTTTTGATTGAAAATGGTTCAGCAAGCTGCAGGTATGTATTCTACAAAAACGTATTGTTACGTTTTTCGTCGGTTCCGTGTGGATAGAAAGTCACAATTTATTTAAACACTATTTATTTAACACTAATTAACAAACAATAACGATTAAAAGAAAACTTATTTACAATTTATCTAATTATTTATCAAACAGAAATTTATTTTGAATTAGCGCGGCGATTGTAACTGTACGCGTCGATCGGTTATTTATCTCTATCCCCTTCAGGTTTCGGTCATCGGCTTATATACGAGAGAAACAGACAGTCCAGACTTGTCTAGTAAATTCTTATTCGTTCTTCGAACGTCGGTGGGCGTATGAGTCATAGCAGGCGCCTGAAGTCTAAGGCCGAATTCACACGGTACGGGTCCGCAACACTGCCCCCTTCTTAGGTACATGCTCGTCCCGAGATGTACACGGTGAATGAAGGTATTTGCAAAGCTGGCCCCTGGTACATTGCGAGGTCTGGTAGAAATAGCAGTCTACAGTTTTCTCTCCCGATCTCAGCTTTGGGTTGTAGCAGCAAACAAGTATCTCGATTCCCGTAAATCTGAACAAGACTTCAATCATGTTCCGGATTGTACGCCGACTCAAACCATCGAGTCCACACGCCAGCTTCAGAATGGCTAATCGTGCAACGTTGTTGTTTAGCAGGGCTTCTCTCAGTTCAATCAGGGTCTTCCATAGATTGAGATAAGTCGGCTTACTCGCGGACCATTCCTTGGTGACCAGGTAGAAGATGTGTCTTGCTTGACCATGTGCATTGTCGGTTAGCCTCAAGGCACTTCCAAGCTCTGGGTCTTGTCGGCGTAGTTCTCCGATACGCCCAAACTTCTCATTGAACGTCGCAGCGATTCCTCTGACATCCGCAAAATCTCGGGCCACAGTGAGCGAGCGAATAATCAGGAGGCACGGAAAAGAGGTCTCGTTGTTCTTCTTTGGTTACACCATAGCGAGCCTTCTCACTGCTGTTATATCGGGGCCATGAAATCATCAAAGGACATGTCCTGATGTCAGGGCAGTCAAAGCTGCAGGTTCTCACGGTTCCAGCACGATCTTCTACAGACGCCTTGGTAAGGGCTCAAATGGTTGAAATGAACTATCCTCGGTTTTCCTGATTTGGCAATTTTCTGATACGGTATACGACGCCACAATCCTATCCATGACTTCGTATGGGCCTTCCCACGAGGATTGTAGCTTCGGAGATAATCCACGACGTCTCTGCGGGTTGTACAGCCACACCAAATTCCCTGGTTGGTATCCCCCATGCTCAGCTTGAATGTCGTAGTGCTCCTTCATTCGGTCACTAGCGCTTTGAATATTTAGGCGGGCTCGCTGATGGATGTCGTCCATCCTTTGACGTAGTCTGTGGACATAATCTTCTCCAGCGACATCTTCTCCCGGTCGGCAACCAAACTTCAGATCACAAGGTAGACATTTGTTTAGCAGGGCTTCTCTCAGTTCAATCAGGGTCTTCCATGGATTGAGATAAGTCGGCTTACTCGCGAACAGGTGAAGGAATTTGTCCCAGTCTCTTTGGTGGTCAGAGACTACTTTGGTCAGATAACGGTTGATAGTTCTGTTCATGCGTTCAACCATCCCATCGGATTGTGGATGTAGAGCAGTCGTCCTGGTCTTACGGATGTTAAGGACTTCACAGACGCCTTGGAACAGATTGGACTCAAAGTTTCTTCCCTGATCTGAATGAAGCTCCATGGGAACACCAAACCTGCAGATCCATTCTTTAACAAGGGCATCGGCAATGGTGGACGCTTCCTGATTTGGCAACGCGTAGGCCTCGACCCATTTGCTGAAGTAATCCATTACTACCACAATGTATTTGTTGCTATCGTTCGTCTCCGGGAAAGGACCAGCCACGTCGATCGCTATTCGTTCGAAAGGACTGCCTACATTGTACTGGCGCATTGGAGCTTTACCGCGCTTTTGTGGACCATTGATAGCAGCGCAAACGTCACATTTCTTGCACCAAGCCCTCAAGTCTTCTTTGCAGTTCACCCAATAGAACCGTTCTCGCAGCTTGCCAAGTGTCTTGGTAACACCAAGATGTCCACTGCTGGTTCCATTGTGAACTTCCTCCAAGACCTCCGGGACCCTCTTCTTTGGAATGACGATCTGCCTTCTCTCTTCTTGCCCCTCTGGCCTCTCAATCACACGGCGGAGTAACCCATCATCTATTACCAAGGAATTCCACTGGGACCAGTACGACTTCACGTTCCGCGAATATCTGCAAACTTCCTCCCACGTTGGTCTCTGGTCCGCGTTTTTCCAGTTAATCACCAAGCCCAACTCTGGATCACTGATTTGGTCATTTGCAAGATCTTCGGTTTGTCAACTATCACCAACCACAGTCGTCCTTAAGACTTTCACTTCTTTCTCTTCTTTGCAACGATTTCCCATCTGTCCGCAATTCCAACAGTGAATCGGTCCCCCCTTCTTGCTCATATACTGATCCAGTACTTTCCGCACAATCCTTTCCACTTTGGAATCGTCGGAACTCTCCTCAACAGCCCGTACAAATCCTAGAGACCTAGAGCATTCTTTCGCGGCCTCAAATTCCAGGGCACGTGCTAGGGCATCTCCCAAATGCGTTGGATGAGCTAAAAGAAGTGTTTGCCTTGTCTCGTTGTCACGTAAACCATCAATAAAAGCCTGTACTGTTAAGCGCTCCATAACATTTTCGGGCATAGCAGGGTAACGAGGCGGGCTACGTCGGCTTCAAACTCCTGCAGAGACTCATTTGACTTTTGAATGCGATTTTTTAGCTGGGAATGATAGACATGTTCCAAATGAGCTTGGCCGTACCTCATTTCTAAATGTCGTACCAATTGCTGATAATCTCCCTGTTCCGATGGTGACAGTGTCTGCAGGATATCAGTCGCATCTCCTCGCAGTGCGACAGTCAAAGCGGTAGCCTTTTCAGCGATTGTCCATCCGTTCGCTCTCGCAGCGGCCTCAAACTGGCAAAAATAATTGGCCCAAGCGGTTTTTCCGTCAAACTGTGGAGGTTTTATAACTGATTTTGAGGCATACCTATTTTCGACTAGTTTCGGTCCCTCCGATGTTTCTTGACATTTTGGTGAATTTGACTTCGCTATTTCTTCTTTTAAAATTTCGATTTTTCTGTTAACATCGTCCTCAATCTGTGCTATTTTGTCTTGTGTATCTATTATCTTTTCTTCTAATTCCTTGGAGTTTTCTGTTATCTTGTTGTATAAACTTTGTTCTAAATTCAATATTTTATTATTGAAGCTGGCCTGTATGTCTTTAGAATTTTCTGCGATCTTATCTTCTAAAATATTCATTTTATCATTTAAAGTTTCTTGCAAATCCTGGGAATTTTCCATAATTTTATCACTGATTTTATTATTCAAATTGTCTTCTAATTTTTGTAAGGACGAGTCAAGGTCACCTTCCAGCTCAAAGCAAAAGGTGTCAGGATCCTCACCTTCTTCAATCAAAACGTCTCTCAGTCTGGCTTGCAGAATGCTTTTCTTTCCATCTGTCTCGCATTCCCTCTCTTCCAGTATGCATTTAATTCGGACACTTTCAAGTCTTTCAACAATTTCTTCGGAGCCATTGTTAGTCTTTTTATTTTTCTAG